TTTATGGGATTGGGGCGTAGATCACGCGTTATCCGCGTGTCGCGAAGAAGGCCAGCCGTGTTTATCACGCGGCTGATTATAATACGGGTTTTTGAGGAACTTGATATTGTCTAGGGGAAAATCTAGACATGGTCTCTAGAGAGATGTTCGTAAATACCGGAGGACTATTCGTCCTTATATCCGCCGATTAGCTAATGTTGTATTTATTATATTTTAATTTATATTGTCCACTGTATGTAATACGTCTATGTAATCGTCTTAATATTGTTAAATACATTGTTATATATTATATTAATCCATCTCTGTGTTCTAATTAATATAAAATCTCCTTTCCCGAATTTCTGAAAACAATATTTGTGAACCGCGTCCCTCTGCCAAATACTCAGCAGGGCGTAGCTGGAGAATTTACGCTTTCTGAACGAATTCTGATACCGTGGCGCGCGGAATCGCTCCTGGCGCCCAAATTTTTAGAATTGTCGTAAATACCGATATTCGGATACCGTTAGTTACCTTTCGAATATTACCTTTTTCTGTTTTGGTCGACTTGCTCGAGGCAGGCGAATTAACGTCGCACAGTACATATAATTAAAATAAATAGATAATATATTTAGGTGTATTTAACATTTAACAAGCATATTATATATTTATATATTATTTATATATTTATTAATTTGTATTATTATATTATATCTAACAGTAAAATTTATTGTAATATTATATGGTTATTTTTTGTGATTATACTAGTATAATATATAGTTTAACTACTTCAAGCAGTTTGCAAAAATATAAAAAACTTGAGGCAAACGGTCATAAATTTAGTAAATATAGAGGCATCGAATAGTAACGCATCTATATAAACAATAATTGAAGCAGTAAAAGAAATAGTACATACAATATAAAAAATTATTCATGTGAAATACATTCACCTATGCATAGCTGCAATTTTTTTATTTCCATCATTGATTAAAACGGATGCTTTCATAAAATTGTATCTGTCTGTTGATTTGATTGTTGCGAATTAATATCTTCCTTTTAATTCTGTCAAAATTCTGCGTTGCGAGATCCTAATATATAAAAACAATGAATTGCATAATGAAATCAATATACTGTTTATATAATAAATAAAAAAATATAAAACTAATATTTCGAGATTAATAAGATAGAACAAAATTTTTTTTCTTTCGCTTTCCATAATAATATTTATTAAAAATATAAAATGTGTTAATAAACCGACCACAACTGGTAATGTTATTATTTAGTTATTTATTCAAAATTCAGACAACGTTTTAACCTTAGTTCAGGTCCTTATCAAGTCTACAATCAAAAAGTAATAATTATAAATGTTGATAAATTAATAATAAGAAACACATTTTTAAAAAATGAAAAATAGCGTAAACTAATGTATATAAATAAATTAAATAAAAACATACCTGCTAAGAAATAAATTGACAAACTTCTACATAATAAAATTCATACTAAAGTTCATCCTATGTTTGTTGGACATTAACGTCGTTATATTGGAAAACGAACTAACTAAGCAGCCTTAATAACCAATCATATATACTATATAGGATTTAAATTCTCTGTGTCTTTCTGAAGGTTGATCGTGTTGTTAAATTTTTTAATGTAAAACATTTCTGCTAACTCTCTTTTTCTCATATGTATTTCCCGATGTAAAATATTAAAGGTTGTCCATTTAAAGTCGTGTAAAAATTCACTTCTATGTTTGCTTATTATGTTATGGTTATTATTGTGCACTTTTATGTTATTCATGTGTTCCTTTATACGAGTATTTAAATGTCTTTTAGTCTGTCCGATGTATGTAGCGTTGCAGTCATTGCAGTCAAGTCTATAAACAACCTCAGTCATCTCCGCTTTGGGAAGTTTGTCTTTTCCTCTTTTTATTACATAATCTAATTTCTTTGGTATCGTATAGATAACATTTAAGCCTGCTTTTACAATAGATCGCTCGATAGTATTACTAAAATTCTTGATATACGGCATTGGAATACAATTTGAAATATCAAATTCTTTATTATTTTGTATTTATCCCCCACGACGTAGGATTTTTTAAGAAAACAAACTCTCTTGTGTAAAAAACGTTCTATAATTGCGTTGGGAAAACAATTATTAGATAAAATTCTTTTGACTATATATAAGTTTTTATTATGGAAACTATCATCAGATAACAAAATAGCATGATCAACTAAGTTATTAATAATTTTATACTTAAATGGGTGATTCGAATAAAAGTTTAAATGTCTACCAGAAGATGTGGGTTTCTGGTACCTATTTGTTAAAAGTTTCCCGTTGTTTCTAATAACCGTTGTGTTTAGAAAATTCATCATATTATTTGTTTCAATCTCATAAGTAAATTGTAAACGTTGATGATAATTATTGAATGTAGTCAGGATATTATCAATCTCAGAACGTGGAATTATTGCAAAAATGTCATCAACATACCTATAATAAACTGAAACCTTACATTGTAAAGCGTTTAAACATTTCGTTTCGAGATTGTCCATAACTAAATCAGCCAAAATAGGTGAAAGGGGGGGAGCTCATTCAGGTACCATGAATCTGTTCGTAAAATTGATCATTAAAACAAAAACTTGTAGACTCTAAAAGAACTTCAACTCCATATAAAAATTGTGAGCTAAAACTGGTGTTACCAGAAATGTCCGTCCAACGTTTTTCAATTGATTTTAAAACTAAGTCTGTAGGAATATTTGTGAACAAAGAAGTAACATCAAGTGAAATCAACATTTCACTATCGTCAATATTAAAGTTTTTAATTTTATTCACAAAATTCCAACCATTTTTAATGTGGGAAGCAGATTTCAAGACTGACTTTTCTAAAATATCGTGCAAAAAACGTGCTATATGTTGAGATTCGCATTCTCTTTCTATTATATTGTATCCTATTCTGATTATATATTGTTTTCGTTCTTCGCGCGTTTCAGTACAAAATATGTTTATTCGTTTGTCCGTGCTGACGCGCTTTTGCTGTTCCATTTATATTGGTCATGATTCTCGATCACTCTCCCCATTCTTGTCCGAGAGTCGTCGTGATATATACACGTTCACCAAAGGTCTAATAAAGTTTGTTACTTATACGATCGGACTATTGATTAATTCTTCAAGCAATTTCGTGCTCCCCATTATCCTGCGCCAACACTATATTGTAAGCTGGACTCCTAATTGACGAGACAATAATTCGTAAAGGAACATTAACTTTATGTATTTTCGGTAAACCGTATGCACGTGGAAGATTACCGTTAGTGGTGTTAAGTCTTTTATATGTTACGTCGTCAATCAATTTATTATCACGCCATGATTTAATTAAAGAATTTATTCTATTAAATAGTTTTTTAATCGGATCTTTTTTCAGTTTATTATAAGTTGATTGATCGTTAAGAAAAACATTCATTTTTTCAATATAATCTTTCCTATCCAAAATTACCGTCGTTTGTCCTTTATCCGCTTTTGTAATTAAAATATCATCATTGTCGCGTATAAACTTATTACATTCCTTCGAGATATTAATGATGTGTCTATCTATGAAGCTAGTGTGTTTCTTTCTACTGAGAAATCCATGTATCGCTTTTGTAACTTCGTTTCAAGTTGATTTTAATAAGTCCTTAGGGATTTTAAAACAATTAGTTTCTAAATTATTAGTAACATCTAAAACAGTATTAATGCGGTCAATTTTGTTATTCTGTAAAACGGGCATGCCAAATTTCTCACTTAAGCTTAAAAAATCTAGAGTATTTTCAGGAATAACTGTATTACTAAAGTTTCTAACCCATTTTGATCTGTCAATCATACTAAAAAAGTTAACATTAACTCTATTGCTTCGAATTAAATTATTAAACTTTTTTATAGCATTATACTTTTTTGTTCGATTAAAATTACGTAGTTTATGATAATTAGATTCAAAGAATCTATCAATTAAAAACCGTGGTAAACTGCCATATAACCTTTCTTCGATGAAATGTAATTTTGAATGTAAATACTTTAACTTACAATTTAGATCTTTAATTTCAAAGTTTAATAATCTAAATCCTGTTCGTTTAACATAATCGTCAAAACGATCAGTTGTGGTCGGTTTAACACATTTTATATTTTTAATTCACTGGCAACTCATAATTTACTCGTAATATTTATTAAATTTACCTTTTCTACGTGACAACTAATAAATAAATTTGTTGTTTTATTAATTATATTAATTATGTCTGCTAAGTCCGTCTTCCATCTTTCAACGAATTCTTCTATTAACTAAAATATTTTATTTTTTAACATTATTAATAAATAACGTTTTTGTAACATTATAACATTATCAAAATTATTTTAAACATTATATAATAATTATTAATATTGCATTATTATCACATTTTGTAAACATTATAAACATGTAAATTTTTACCTTAGTTTGATTTACGGAATATACGTTAATAATAATAATAATTAATGCTGCAGGTATAGTAACAGGTCTAAAACCGATAAAACAGATGTATATATAATACACATCAAAACTTTTGTACAAAATATTTATAAAAATATGGCACATTACTTTGGTTTTTTTTCTTGAAAATAATTTAATAAATGCTCCAGTATAGTTTGATTCTTCGCATGCTTTGTAATAATATGTAAGAAACTGTTAAAAAATTTGGATATTTATTTTGTGTAGAAATATTTTGTTTTAATGTTAAATACGATTTGATGCGATTAGTATCTTCAGTGCAAGCCAAGTATTCTAAAAATTTAGTGTCTTTTTTTCCAAACCTATCACATACACAATTTCCCAAGTATTCTCTTTTTCGGCAGTTATCATCAAACCTTTACAATATGTCCATTCCTTTCACCATGGCATAAGTCTGAAATAAAAGAAAATTAAATTTTCCTATTAAAAATTAGCATATAGATCTCTTGATTAAACCATTTGAACATTATAAAGGATATCAATAAGAAAATTTAATTAAGAAAGCGTAAAAGTATATAATAATATTTACCTGTATGTTTTAGGTTGTTCGCAATGTTGTTTTAATTTTATGTTGGCTATTTTCTTACAAGTAATGTCACCGAGAAAACATGCCCATCTTGCAGCTTCTTGTCGTAAACATATTCTAAGTTGGTCTGTATCATCAATTTCTTCATATTTGATTCTTTCAAGTACCTTGATTAATGCCAACTTTATGCAATTCTAAAAATCGTTAAATATATATTTCTTTCTTTGTTTATATTCTAAATGTATATAAAAATCATTATATTTTTCTATTATTTCCCAATGCATTATTAAAAATATTTTTTTTGTGAGACAAATATACATACAAATTTATTTATAACCGTGAGCGTTTATTTATGTACGTACATATGTTCATATATACATACATGTATGCAAAAATATGGTTTAATTTGTGCGAAATGTTTATACAATAATATTTAAAAGATATTATTAAAGTTATATAACTATTTATCAATTATATTTTATTTTTAAATAAGGTAAAAAATACCTATATATATTTTTTTGAAATATGTAGGAATCGAAAATCCGAATTTATCTCGTATTATTATATGTTTAATTTATTTTTCTTATTGAGCGTGTTTGGACGTCCCTGTCAGGGTAAATGATTGATTTATGTCAGTATTTGGATAAGCCAAATGTCTTGTTTTCAAAGAGACTCGTGCTCTTGTTTGTCTCGCAACGGCTAAAATCCCAAACAAGGAGGCAAGCGTGTCTTCGCCGGATTGGCCGGCGGATTTTTCGAGATCGAGACGCGGAACCATTTTGGCGAGCGTTGGTGAAAGAGGAGTCAGACGATAAGAGTCCGCAAAAGAATATAAACGCGCGTGAAAAATCTTCGAGCAAACGTTAGGTACACCGCCGCCCGCGAATAAATTGTATAAGAGCTGTGTTTGATAACGTGCCTTCAGCGACTCTCCGGACCGTGTGCGTTGGGAGCCGTTGAACACGACCCGGAGCTTTGTGGTGTAACGGTTCACCTTTCCCGACGCCGCGGATCGGCTCGCCGGTTCCAGGATTCGGGAGGAAGGGGGAGATTCAGACTCGCTTATTCCTTATTAACAATGCTTTGGTTTATTCAAAAAGAAACAAATAAACAAAATGTTTGTTGGCATAAAGCTTAAATAGAGAAACTTATTGACTACTTGGTATAAACAAAATGTTTGTTGGCATAAAGCCTTAAATAGAGAAACTTATTGACTACTCGGTATAAACAAAATGCGGAGGCGTGTAGCCTGTAGCGGTGTCCGGAAAAGATTTACAAATTACCCGGTATAACTTAGAGATATGGTGTACGGAGGCGTATAGCTTATAGCAGGAAGAAACCGGAAACCGGGAAACCCGGCGTAATGACGAGAAACCCGTCACCCGGTGTATAGCAGGAAGAGACCGGAAACCGGGAAACCCGGCGTAACAACGAGAAACCCGTTGCCCGGCGTGTAGCAGGAAGAGACCGGAAACCGGGAAACCCGGCGTAACAACGAGAAACCCGTTGCCCGGCGTGTAGCAGGAAGAGACCGGAAACCGGGAAACCCGGCGTAACAACGAGAAACCCGTTGCCCGGCGTGTAGCAGGAAGAGACCGGAAACCGGGAAACCCGGCGTAATGACGAGAAACCCGTCACCCGGTGTATAGCAGGAAGAGACCGGAAACCGGGAAACCCGGCGTAACAACGAGAAACCCGTTGCCCGATACTAAAGGTAGGAGGCCAGAAACCGAGAAACCCGGCGTAACAACGAGAAGCCCGTTGCCTGGCTAGGAGGTCCGGAACAGGACTGGTGCCGGCTCATCCGTCGAGCCGGCTTATATACCCTGCCGGCGGTTCCCCCACTCTACATCGAGGCTGTGGTGGGGGTAATGCCGGCGTCGTAGTGGGGCGCCTCTGGGGGTTGTAGTGGGGCGCCCCTGGGGTAGGGTGACCCGTGTATCGCTTATGTTTTTGTGTTTAGGGGCGCCTTAGGCGCCATAGCCTCAAGTGGCGGGCGGGTGATCGGCCCGCGAGGCGTTAGTAACGGCCACGCCGTTACACTACCCCCTCTCTAGACGGCGGATCGTACGTGGTCGGCCGAAACGGTCGAACCGTATTATCCACCGTCCAGTAGGGAAGGTGGCTCGGAACTTCCGAGTGGCGTGGGCGGTATGGCGCTGGAGGAATCACGGCGGCTGGCCCTGTCCTACGCCCCGATGGTTTCCTCGTCCTCTTCCTCGGATGCCGCCTTGAGGTCCTGCACATGGATGTGGCGGTGCCATCGTCCTCGGGCGTCCTTGAGGTCAACGATTACGGGGGATACGATCCTCCGGACAGTCATCGGTCCGCTGTACTTCGGGGCCAGCTTGGCGTTGAACGCGTTGGCCTTGCTGGACAGGGGGCGGTCGCGTTTCCAGACGCGTTCGCCCAGCTGCGGTCGCCAGTCTCGTCGCCGCAGGTTGTACGGCTTCTCTTGCCGCTGGAAGGCCCGGGCGAGGTGGATTCGGACCACCTTGTAGGCGTCCTCCAACTGGGTCTGGCGGGTGCTTGGTCCTGGTGCTGGTGCGGTTCCTGGTCGATCCTCTGGATGTGGGCGGGCGAGCTCTCGGCCGTGCAGGATGTAGGCCGGAGTGTATCCGGTGGCCTCATGTCGGGCGGTGTTGATGGCGAACTGTAAGGCGGGGATTCGCTCGTCCCAGTCTTTGTGCCGCCGGCCTACGTACTGGCTGATCATTGTTTTAACCGTACGGTTCGCTCGCTCTACCGGATTGCATTGCGGAGTGTACACGGGGGATGTCCGATGTTGTATCCCGTAGGAAGCTAGCAAGGCCTTAATGCGTTGCGCGACGAACTGAGTCCCGTTATCGGACACCAGGGCGACCGGACACCCGTGCCGGTATATCAGGCGGTCGGTGAGTGCTCGGGCTACGGCTACGGCGGTGGCTTTTCTAAGCGGGACCATCTCGATCCACTTACTGAACCGGTCTTGTATGGTTAATAGCCAGGTATGGCCGCTAGTGGATCGAGGCAGGGGACCGATCAGGTCTACGGCGGCTTGTTCCCATGGTGCGCGGACGGGGGTGGCCATCATCCGTCCAGCCGGTCGTTGTTGACTGGCCTTGTGCCGCGCACAATTAGCGCACCCTCGGACGTACCGGGCAATTTCCCGAAACATGCCGGGCCAGTAATATAGCTGGGCCACCCGAGCCAATGTTTTGGAAATGCCCAGGTGCCCGGCGGCCGGGTCGTCGTGCATTCGCTGAAGCAGGGCGGGTCGTTGGTCTGTAGGCACGCACTGCTTCCATTGCTCTTCGGCTGGTGTTTCCCGGAAGTCCAGATCGTGGAGTATATGCCTGTACAATCGTTGATCCTGGATTTTATAGTCCGGGTGATCGGTCGGATGTCTCCGTACTTCGGCTAGTTTACGGTGGTACCACCGGCATTTCGGCCGGGTCACCGCCAAAGCTTCCGGGAGGCGGGAGAGGGCATCTGCCACCTGGTTAAGTGTCCCGCGCCGGTACTGGATGTCGAAATCATGTTGTTGTAATTCGAACATCCAGCGGGCTAGTCGTCCGGTAGGGGCCTCGATGTGTTGTAACCACTTTAAAGCTTGGTGGTCGGTCACGACGGTGAATCGGTAGCCCTCGAGGTAATCCCGCATCCGGCGTATACCCCACACGACAGCCAAGCACTCTAGTTCGGTAGCGCTATAATTCTTCTCGGCTGCGTTGAGGGTCCGGCTGGCGTACGCGATAACCCGCTCTCCTTCGCCGAGGTGTTGGGTTAATACGGCCCCTAACCCGTGGGCGCTGGCGTCGGTTTGTAGTAGAAATGGTCGCGCAAAATCTGGACAGGCGAGGACAGGTGCGGTGGTTAAGGCCTGTTTTAGTTTCCGGAACGCGGTTTCTTCTTCTTTTGCCCAGGTCCAGCGCGCTCTCTTTTTAGTGAGTCGAGTGAGAGGGGCGGCGATAGTGGAGAAGTCAGCGATGAATCGGCGGTACCATGACGCTACCCCCAGAAATTGCCGAACCCTGCGGAGGGTCGTGGGGGCAGGCCAATCGGTAATGGCTCGCACTTTCTCTGGGTCCGTCCGGATTCCGTGCCGATCGATAACGTGTCCGAGGTACCGGAGACTTGGCCGGCAGAAGTGACACTTTTCTGGGTTGAGGCGGAGTCGGGCGTCACGGAGGCGGCGAAAGACTTCGGCCAAGTGGCCTAGGTGCTCCTCGAAAGTACGGGATGCGACAACTATGTCGTCCAAGTAGACGAGGACGTGTGGCTCTAACTCGGGTCCTAGCACGGTGTCGAGCAGCCGTTGGAAGGTGGCCGGTGCTGAATGCAGTCCGAATGGCATGACGCGGAACTGCATCAGCCCTCTCCCTGGCACCGTGAAGGCGGTTGCGGGGCGGCTCTCCGGAGTTAGTGGCACTTGCCAATACCCGCTGCGTAGGTCCAACGTGGACAAGTAGTGTGCGCCTCGTAGCTTATCCAAGGTGGCGGCAATGTGAGGCAGCGGGTATGCATCTTTCTCGGAGGCCGCGTTTAATCGGCGGAAGTCTATACAAAATCGGTAGGTCCCGTCTTTCTTCTTTGCCAGCACTATCGGAGAGCTCCAGGCGCTGGTGGAGGGCTCGATGACTCCTTCGGCTTCCATCTTTTGGACCTCTTGGTCGATCACGGCTTGCATGGCCGGATTACGGGGCCGATATCGTTGTTTAATGGGCGGCCCCGGTTTTAGCCGAATTTGGTGCGTGGCTTTGTCGGTCGGGCCGCGGACCGATTCGAACTTTGGAAGTTCGTTATTTAGAAAGGCCTGTAGCCTTAGCGCCTCGCTGGTAGTTCCTGGGCTGATACTGGCTGTCGCGATTCCATCTTTGGTTGTTGTCTCGGTGACAGGTCTGGGCGGCGGGCGCAGCTCGACTCCTAATTTCGCCCAGAGGTCTATGCCTATTAGTACGGCGTTGTCTAGTTGTGGTAGTACGGAGAAGCGGTGGCGGTACGATTTTCCTCGTAACCTGACCGTTGCTTCGATGGTCTCGGCAATGGGGACTTGCGTCCCGTCGGCCAGGCGTATCTGGGCTGCCTTGAGATCTGGGCTAGACGGTGTGCGGTTGATTCGGCGGGCCGTTTCAGCGTTTACGAATGAGATCTCTGAGCCGGAATCGAGGAGGCCCCACAAATGTTGTC